CATATGAAGAACCCTAATAAAGGCCCAGGGTTTCTTAATCAGGTTCCTATATTAGGTTGCAAGAGGGACTGAGCGGCTAGGCTTTGAGGACCTCGCGGCTTTAAAATTGGGACTTGATCGATCTCGGACAATCCGGGGCGGGGCTGTGTACCACGGGGCCGTACGGCTTTAGGAGTTCAGTGGCTGGATGCCAAAGCTCTGCCCGGTGGCTATAGAAACGACAGTTGTTTCCTTGAAATGATTTAAGGTATGTACTCAAAATTACATGAAGCCCCTAGGAAACCCTGCATCCCTTGGTTTAATCTTCCTTGATCACAAGCTTAAACCCACAGAGCCCAGTATCCCTTAATTTAAGAATATACCTTAAATTACAAATCATAGGGGCCTTCATATTATGATTTAGGGTATATTCCTTAATTCAGGGGTATTGGGCTCTCTGGGAACCTCTCTGAAGGTTCTCAGACACCGGGCCAGAAGCGCGCCGTCCTGCGCACTGTAATTCACCTTGCTCGCTCTTGGGGAGGTCGGCTTTCGGGGGCCCTTTTTTGGGGTTTCGGACCCACAAACCCCTACACCCTACGCTTGATGATGTAAACCCTGCATTTCCCATAAGAAGGAATCTACCAGAATTCCCATAGTTTAGGGTCCTTAAGATTTAATGCTAAGGATTTCTACCATCAACGGGAGTGGGGTTTAGGCTTGAGTTGGAAGGTTTTGGCCTCGGGGATTTAGGCGTCTAGGCCTTGGGATTTGGGTTTGCCCTGTGTCATCGCACTCGTCATATGCGAGTGGCAAGCAAGGACGAAATTATTGTGTTTTGGAGCAAGCAAGAACAACAAGTCCAGACTGTACAACACCCCCCACAGCCCAAAAATGCAAACATAACCTGCAACAACATGATACTAGACAGCTCGACCATGTTTGTACCTGTCGTCAGCAACTGCCACTCAGCCAGCCTGACTTCCGGTCTTGTCCCGTGGATGAAACTGGATGGGAAGCTGATGGCAGAGAACACAAATGCAAGAAAGGGACCCGCAGGACCCCTGCTTCCTGTCACTGCATCAACCCGCCACAGCTCGACCCCAGTGTTAGTGTTTAGGTTTTTGAGGACATTTGTAGAGTGTAGCCTTTGTATGACATTCTGAACAAGATGACCAGCGGCAGAGACCTTGCTTGCATCCGGCAGGAACGGAAGGGGAAAGCTCCGCTGAAAGCTGGTCACCATCTGCGCGACACGAAAGTTCAACGCGGGGGCCTTAATGGCCTTAACAATTAGACTAGGGCTTTGGGGTCACACTACAAATATAATCAGGAACCTTAAGGAACAACTTTTATGAAGTATTCGAGCTCCTCCGGTCAAAGTACGTTCCTCATCTCGCTCGTGATTTGGGGCCTTCCGGGTTTTTCACAGAGGACTTCTTGGGCTGTCGAAGTAAACAAGCTGAAGCAGTACTACAAAAGCAGCAACGACCAGGGATCAATGATCATGATGATAGTGGTTGTAGTCGTCACTATATTCGGATACTCATTGCTAGAAGAAAGCGACGCAAGCACAACAATCTCAACAGTGAGGCTACTGCTTGGTATGAGCTACGACAGTCAGTTCTTTCTGAACCCGTGGCTCACGGTGGCTCGTGCCCGAACCCTAAACTCGCAAACATTTAAACCCAACAGCCAATGTCGCAGCTTCAGCCCTCAACGGCCCTTCCTGGCCTGTCCCGTGGTCTTCTGTCCCTGAACAACAAGAGTGTCACCGACAACCTTGGCTGAGCTGGGAGTGCAAGGGTAGTTTTAGGGTTGACAGCGAGATCGTAATGTAGCCCCTGGAATAGTAAACCACCTTTCTTAGAGTTCTTTCAAGGTCATAATTGTTAGGATCCAACTATAATCCCGATAGAGTATGTGAGAGGGGTTTACTAATCAGAGGGTCCACATGACGGTTTTGGGTCTAGTGTCTGTGTCACGGCATGGAAGAGGTGTTACGGTTCTGGAGCTTGAGATTTAGGGTCAAGTCTCTATTGAAGTGGATCTGTCTGTTGACCTTCGAAAGCTTGCCAAGCGATAGTGTTGAAGCGGCTCAGCTATTCCATATATATATATATAGATAGATAGATAGATAGATAGATAGATAGTAAATACACAGAATCCCTATCTATCTATCTATCTATCTATGTATCTGTCTATCCAATCTATTCGGTTCTGTTGACAGACGACTGCGGAGTTTTGAATACCAATTTGGTAGAACCAGGATTCGCAGGGTGTGCGCTGCTTGGGAACGACAACCCCGGAACAGGGTTTACCCATAGGCCCCAAAGTAGTTCCTTTTTATGGTGTATATGTAGAATCCTACAAGGTAATCACAAAAAGGAACTACTTAGAGGCCTATGGGTAGGGTTTCACACTCGCACCAAGCAGGCAAGGGTTTAGGGAACAGAATCACCATCCCAACCCTGCCATCACCCAACAACATCAGCAACCTGTACCACCTCAATGGTTTAGGTTTAAGGTTAAGGATATCCCTTGAACCGTCAGACAGATAAAACACAAATCCCTGCTCTGCTTTGCTTTGTCCCTCTCTTCCTCCCTCGATCTCTATCTGAACTGTAGCTCTCTCTCTCTCTCTCTCTCTCTCTCGCTCGCAGTGCCATTGCAGAACAGAACAAGGTCGAATCAGGATCCAATCTGCTCGCCGGAATACCAAACTTGAAAGCCCACACTGCTCGTCCGCCGAGTGACCTTCACGTTTAATGGCTCGTCTCCTTCACCACTTCTGTGCATGCTGTAGCCTTGGGACGACTGAACAAAACATGCAAGACTGTCCCTGTCGAAGTAAACCTACTTCGTTACTCCAGTAGCCGGATGATCAAACCCTCTACTTGAACCGAGACACCTGGAAGAGAGGCGCGAAGGCGGAAATGCCCGTTGGTCACACCTTCTTGCGTGCCAGATTGTCTTGTTGGCAAAGGGGGTTACTTGGAGGTTCATGAGTAGCTATAAGTAGGGTCATAGGTAGGGCAAGTGAAAATATAATTCATATTAGGGGACTTATAACCCTACTTAAAAACTACCCATGAATCTCCAAGTTGCTTGATCCAGACCATAAACCCGGCAGAAGGTTCTTCAAGGAAGCTTGTGTGGGGTTGACACGCTCTCATATAAGGATCTACTGAGAGAATCCTGCTGAATCTTAGACGCTGGCGGGGTTGAAGTCCTCTTTTCTTGTGTGTCCCTGTGGCATTTTGCGTTGGAGGCCGGGTTGCCTTCAGGTTAGGGCTGTAAGCCACGAGGCTTCAGTTTCAGGCTCTTGGTGATGAGCCTATGAGAAGCTCATGGGCTCTTTACGCAGACCTGGAAGCCACTAAGCTTACCTCGAAGGAGCTTTCCTTCTAGGGCTTGGGGCCTTCGGAAATATCAGGCGCTGCTAGTAGAGTATTGTGCCTCCCGCGGGCTTTACTCTGGGGGCATGGTCGGGAGAACATACCTATGAAATGAATGAGCTGGGTAGGAATAGGATTCCCATGTTCGTGATCCCTATTACAGCAACTAACGAAGACTCCCGTATCAAGGAGCTTCTAAATCATTGACCGTTATACCAAAGCCCTCCGACGGAAACCCAACATATTGAGAAAAAGGTTCCTTAACTGCCGCTCTGGGGAGTCATGCGGTCCCACCAACCCCAGACCCTCAATCACTCAAGGGGATCTAGGATTTCGGAGAACCCAGAGAGCGCAATACCCCTTAAACAGGGAATACGGCCTTGATGTTATGATTTACAGTTTCTTCCTTAATTAAGGGGTATTGGGCTCTCTGGGAAGGGAGCTCAAATCTCTCGGGGCCCCCGGCTCGTTTGGAAGCCACCGCTGCCCGACTGCATCGCCGGTACCAAGTGCGCTCCGAAGCCTTTCCTAGGCTTGGGGTTATGGTTTAGGATTTAGGGTTTAGGGTTTTGGATTTAGGGGTTTGGTGGCTTCGGGTGGTCCTAGCTTGTCGATCGTGCGGCTCTTACCTTACTTAGCTAGGTGCCCATGGGGAAACTCTTCAGTTAGATCTTGACTCAATTTACCTGCTAGCCCCAGACGCCTTCTTTTCGATGGAACCATCAAGAAAGCCTGAACCCCCTCTCTTGTATGAGGCTTCCATAAAAAAAAGCCCCAGCTGCAGCAGGCCCCGAAAGAGGTCCGGCTGCTGAAACTCCAGGGGCCGGGGCCCTTCCACCGAAGGGTCTTGGGCCAGCTGCGGGTGGCTGGAGCCGGTCCTGCTTGGAGGTTCCTGGGTATCTTACAAGTGGGGGGTTATGAGTCACCTAATCTAGGGAATATAGGGCTTGTAGGCTTTTTGGGTTTATAGGGTTTAGGCTATATATGTGGGGTTATAAGTCCCCCCCAATACGGGTTATAACTCTAGAAAAAACCTACTTATAGCCGGGAAACCTAGGGCGTTGTGAACAAGGCGCTTCGTTTTTTTTTTCAGGGGTCGGACGTTTGGATGTGCCAACACCCGCGGCTCCCCTTCAAGGCCAAAGTGCTGCCTGGTGCGGGGCTGTTATTATCCGCATCCATATACTTAAGCCCCCAAGTATATATGCTCACCCATTTTCAGCCGGAGCCCCATACACTTTCACCAAAAACGGTACCGGTACTATCAACCCTACCTCATGGGTACATGGCCGCTAAACGCCTAAAGCATCTGAAGGCCCTATGGACGATGAACCCTTATGAAGGCCTAAAGTCCTGATAAGATCCTACAATGCCCATGTACGCCCCTAGAACTCCGACCCGAAACCATAAACTCTGAGGCCCTTATATTTTATTGCAGTATATTGTTTACTACATTATATTTGTATACCTTATATTTGTATATTCCATACGTTGTATCTATATATATATATATATCTCTCTCTCTCTCTCTCTGTCTCTTTCTCTGAACATGTATATGTACATACATATACATACATACATACATACATACATACATACATACATACATATATACACATGTGTTTAACTCTCAGGGAGCTCGGTCCTTGGCCCAGGTCCTGCGAGCATCTCATGCAACGCCTGGCCCAGGTCCGATTCCATCAGCGGCCCCAGGTTGATGACCACCGGCTTCCCTGGCTGTCGCTTTAGGGGTTCCGGTTGGTTCGACTAGGGTTTAGGGGTTCCGGTTGGTTTTAATTAGTAGGGTTTAGGGGGGAGAGGCTTAAGTCTGGCTTTTTGGACTTCGTTTGTCTAAGGTTAGTGTCGGATTTTTTCTCAGGCTTGTATACAGGGTTGTCAGGTGTCCTAAAGGCTGCTAGAGTTTTGTGGGGCTGTTGGCTTTCGGAAGCAAGGGGTAGCCTCCTTGGTGTTACGGCATGTTTGTTAGCTTCGTGTCTTGGAAGGGCCTCAGCCTTGAAGGCCAAACTGCGGGGACCCTGACACACTCTCTTACTCAACACCCCAGTGGGTATTGTCTTTTCTTTGAGAGTTTAGTGAGCTTCATAGAAAGATCCGACCGATAAGGTGTCCAAACAGGGATCCTCATTTTTCATGAGAGAGCCGGCAAAATCCTAAACGCTTGGAAACCCATCCTGCCGTCATGACCTTCCTGTCTTTTCCATGCCCAAGCCATTCCAAAATCTGCTTTGACCCTTGAACACCCACCTGTTTGGTGTGTGAATTATAAGACCAGAAGCCATAAACTCTAACAGGGTAGGCTCAGGGTTACCGGAATCGGCACAGGAGTCAAGGTTCAGGGCTTACTTAATGCTAAGGCTCGAGGCTCAGGGTTGTCCGCCTGGGTGGAAAAGGAAGTCGTCCATGTCCGTCTGTGAAAGTGTGCATCGCAAAAGAAGCGGAAGCAGAATCCAGCGGCAGGATTGGCCCCGAGCAGCGCCGCTGGAGGGAGCCATGTGGCGCCCTTCGGCGACGCACTGTCCAGCCGGTGCTACACTTAGTGCTCTTGCAGGGATAACCCAAGGCCATCCTGCAATCTGCATTAAGACATGATGGCTGTTCCCGAAATTCACTTCTGGGACCTTTCCAGACAGAGCACTAAGTATCTATGTACATATTCATCTGTCTATCGAGCCATAAACGATACTCGTATATAACCCTTATAAAAAGGACCCTAAGAGGGGACCCTAATTTAGAGAAGTACGCATGTTAAGTAGACGAGTATATGAGTGTATTCGATGTGGATGAGGGCTTTCGGTTGCGAGCTCAAGGCGGCAGTTGCGCGTGGGGACGCCCATCCTATCGACAACTACATCTGATATGAGGGCCTTAAAGTAGTAGAGCAGGGTTGTTGGGGCTTCTTATCCTATATGATATGTCCTAAACCCTAAAGCCTAAAGCCCTAAACCCTATAAGTATAAAAAGGAGCCCTAAGGGACCTTGTTCTAATCATTAAGGCCCTCATATTCCGAGCTGCCAGACAAATCTTTGGCCGTCTTGCCATAACCAGGACTCAGCCTGAGCTAGGAAGCCAGACAATATATGTGTTTGGAGATCATGTGAGTGAAACTTGGTGTACAACTCGTATACTAATACCCGTCCGACATGCAGCCTAAGACATCGGGACGACAAATGCATAACTTCTGATTTCTGCGCACGCTGTCCGGACCCTTGACTTCGGACCTTCAGGGTCAGTTCTATGGTAGTTTCTGATTGCTGGTAACCAGGTTCTGAAATTATAGCCGACAGTGCATTGAGCAGCAAGCTGCGTCTTTTGTCTCGCTTTTCTTGCAAGTGTCGCTGTTCGGGTGAAACGGTGCAGGCCAGCAAGTGATAGCGTACGCATACCTCCATGCGCGCGGCCGTGCATTCGCTGCCGCCGCCTGGTTTGCATTAGCCTGAGAGTCTGCTCAACGCAGACTGCAGGTCGATATGCGGGGTGCAGAAGCCGAAGCCACACCCTGAAGCCTGTTTGATGCTGTAGGAATACTCATTTTTGGCTCCCGCATGGCACAGTATTCATGATACTGATACAAGTACAAATATAGATAAGCTCTCAGAACTCTACACACTATCTTCTTCGAACCCGAATTGGACTGAGGTGACACTCGCTTGACTGTGGTTATCCTTGCCTTGTTAGCCTATCCATAATAAAGATGGACAGCCGGAAACAACACAGCTATGCGGCAGGATCTAGGTAGCCTGCTCTTGAGCACCTCATGTAAGCATTATACGGGGCTGCTATAGGTTTGTTTTGCAGGGCTACGATGGACGACCACCCCAAGAAGCGTCCCTGAATTTTCAGTTTTGGAAACCACACCATGTGCATCTATAAAAGGTTACAGAACTTCCTGCCCTGAAACCTCCCCATCCTCACCGATCTCACCTTGTAGTAGCTTCCTGCTACGACCTGGGGTTACATTATAACAAACATCAGAATGAAATTGCCTCTCAACGATCTCCTGCTTCCAGTATCCTTGCTAAAACACTTGCAGCAATCCATCTCAGATCCCTCATAAGCTTCCCGGCAGCTATGTTATTATCCTATGTAGAACCCTTTTAGTAACCCTTGTAAAGCTTGTAAGACTCAGAGCTTCCCTAAAAGCCTCAGCCCGAAAGGAAACATGTACCGCTTTGCACCCCTCGAAGAAGCCGATCTCGGACGCAACGGTCCGAAGTGTCCGAGGTCGACAACTGCCCAGCAGAAACCCAAACAAATCCCCTGGCAGGAAACCAGGTGTGCATGTTTATCTAATGTAGGGTCCTTAATAACAGAATAGGGTTTTGGGTTATATTACACTATAGTCATAATAAGAATATAGGTAGTTGTTGAGGCCCCTAAATCAGGCTCTTAAGGACTTAGGAGTTTAGGCTACGTTTTTGATGCAGGGTTGTGGGGTTTAGCATATTCGTGACTGCCCGAAAGTTGTAAGCACGCTGTCCTCATCTGAAGACCAGCACTACCCGTCTTCGTTTTCGTTTCAGCTTCCAACTTCTTGGGGTTGAGCATGGGCTTATTGTAAACCAGACTTGTCGCGGAGCTTTGTTTCTGAAAGCGTTAGAAATGAGGGCTTCGTGGTGAGGCAGGCTTACTTGGAGGTTCAGGGCTAATTATAAGTAGGGCTATAAGTCCCCTAATATGGGTTATAATTACACTTACCCTAGTTATAACCCCAGTTATAACTACCCATGAACCTCCAAGTAGGGTTGGTAGACCCTAAACCCCTTTTTTTTGAACCCTAAAGGCGCTAAAGGCCCTAAACCCCTTTTTTGAACCCTCAAGGCCCTAAACCCTTAAAGCCTTGTATAAACCCGAAACCCTCTAAACCCTATAAGCCCTATATTAGGGGACTTATGAACCTCCACTTATAATAATAACAAATAATCATAGTAATAATATAATAATATATGTATATATATATATACATACATACATACATACATACATACATACATACATACATACATACATACAAACATATAATAACTAACCATGAACCTCCAAGTCGGGTTTGAGGCCTTCACATTCCGCCATGCTCGAGGTGAGGCCTTCTTTCTCATGACTGCTGGAACAGTTTGGGCAAGCAGGTTTCAGGTCTAGGTGTTGGGGGTTTAAGGGGTTTAGGATTTAGGGGTTTAGGGGTTTAGGGTTTAAAATTTAGGGGTTTGGGGTTTTGTCTGTTTAGTGTTTAGGGAACAGAAAGCAAGGATGAGCACCAAGAGGCGCCACCTGGCCTGCGCCATGAGAGTCTGCCACTGCTGCTTTAGGCTTACATTCGGGATCCATATTATATGAATTGTATATTCTATTATATTATATTCTATATATCTATTACATTATATTCTATATTCTATCATATCATATTCTGTATATTCTATATATCTATCATTCTTTGGGTTCTGCTGGGCCCTTTGGTCGGTCGGTGCAGAGAAGCTGGGCAAAGGTTGCCCCTTTACAGATTGAGGTCTGTGCCAGCTTTGGGCTGAGCCGATTCAAATTCCTAGGGCAAAACCTGCTGCTGAAGCAGCCTTCCCGAGTCCTGGGTGGACCATCCGCCGCGGAAGTTGCACTGAGGAATCGATGCAGCAAAAGCCCTCAAACGCGGGACAAGCAGTAGAATCGACGATGCCTGAAGGCCCCAGAAACAGAAATTCTTCGGCCGCCTGCCGCTCCAGCAGCGTGGCTCCTACCTTCTCATATGGAGAAAGGTCCAGAGCGGTGCCTAGAAGTGCCCCACCCGACCTTCGAATCTAAGAATCTACGCCAAGCCGATTCTGATATTCGTGATCAAGCATCAGGTTCCGACTACGATATTACGAGTAGGCAAAATATCTTGCGAGCATTGCATTGCGACAAACGGTCGTCGAAGGACGAGTGATCCCCTTAGAGATGTACGCAGAAACTAATCGACCCAGTGGGCTCAGCGGAGTTGTACCAGAACGGAGGTGATGTCGTCCTCGGCCGCACCGGGCGATCAAGCTACTCACCGGAAGATGTCTACGAAACGGTTCAGGTTTAGGGGCCTCGGGCTTACGACGGAATAAGAACAGAGCAGGCAGGTCGGGTTCGAAGCTATGCAGCAGCAGGACCTGCTGCTGACAACAGTAGCAGGTGAGGCTGCAATATCTGCGCGCTTACATAGAGGCAGATCCGACCCCTGATGCTCAGCACCCTAGTCTTGCAGATTTCTTTCACTAAAACGGCGATTCTGCGTAGAAGCCTACTTGGCCAGAATGCTGTTCCAGGCAGAACGTGCTGAATGTGAAGCTCAGCCTCTAGGCCCCGCACCTTTAGCTAGAAGCCTCTTCGATCCACAACCAGACGACTAGGGTTTATGGGTTTAGGGTTTAGGCTACATAGCCTCATCGTGATATGTTAAAACAAAAATGCACAAACAACTCCCAAGGAACACCTAATTGGGAATAGGTTGGGTCGCCCATCCTTTCATCCTCCCGACCCTCACGCCAACAACTAACAAGCCATTTTGGGGGCCATTTGGGGGTTTCCGACAATAGGGGACCCTAATATAGTACCTTAAATAGTAGGATCCTTAATATAAGGATCCCAAAATAAGGCACCCTAATTGTCGGAAAGTTCCATTTTTTTTGGGGGGGGTTTTTGAGTCTCGCTGCAGCCCTTCGTAGCCCCCGGGGCTTCACCCCTTTCTCCCAAACCCCGAAGCGAAAACCCCCAAAAAAAGAACTTAACACAGCATTGCGGGCTTTTTTGGGGTTTTACTGGGCTCTGAAATAAACCATTGAGAGAAAAGTTTGGGGGATGTGTCAAAGGGTTTCAGCACTCACACTCGGACATGCCATGTGTAGGGTTTAGGGTACTTGTATTCTATCTAAGCATTCACCTCTTCTTCCAAAAAAAGAGCCTGTACCTGGAGGTTCATGGGTAGTTATAAGTAGGGTTAAAAGTTGTAAGTCCGGAGTTTCTCCCGGAACAATCCTGGACCCGTCTTGCTACCTGCAGTCAGCTGAGACCTGGACCTTGGACCCTAATCCGAAACCCCCAAGTACCCGTTAATAGAGCCCTTATGGTCCTTAGTAGTGGGTACTTAGGGTATAATAGAGGGTAGTTGGGGGGTTGCTGGTAGTCCGAAACCCTTAAACCCTGAAACCTAAACTCCAAAAACCGCCCTCGTCATCCAAAAGCACATGAAACTGCGGAGACTTTGAGGCTCCGACGCAGTAGTCACCTTGGTTGCCGTGTTGGGTTTAGAGTTTTAGGGCTTTAGGGTTTAATGGGTTTAGGGTTTAGTGTAGGATCCTTCAGAGGGGGTCAGCCGGCGTTCAAGCAGGGCTTTGGAAGAACAAGCTACTATACTTTTACTAAGGATCCCATTTATGCAATATTCTCGCTCTGGGGATTCTGAGGGTTTTTTTGAAAGGAGAGGTTGTTGGACATACACACCCTAGACCCCGAAGCCTCAACAGGAATCTGCCTATGGCTACTTTGGCCACGAGAGGGTTTAGGGTTTCTTTTCCTTTCTTCTGGGGTCCTCTGGTCCCGCTCCCATTAAAAGCTGACTCGTCGCCATCATCACGTGCATGATCGTGCAGTTGCGGGCCTCGCCTTTCACCAACAAGCCCTGGACATCTGTCATATTTAGTCGTCTGGGCAAGTAGCAAACCCGCGTACTTATAACCTGCTTACAACCTACTTGCTAGGTCCCGTGCCCCTGTCAGTGTTCTACCGGTAACACCCTGCTTACCTGAAAACCACCAAAACCCGAATTATCGTAGTTCCCGCAATACTCTAAAGACCCGAATTTCCTACAGAGGCCTGGATTTAGTGTGCGGGACTTGAGGTTTCTGCAGGACTATGTGCCCACGGCTTTCGACGAACAAAAGTGTTCGGGGTACTTTGGCATAAAGCGCTTTTTCCATCCAGCCTGCTGATGCCGCCGCGGCCTAACTATAAGGTTCCCCTACAGCCTAAAAAACCCCTATTGTCCTACCTACCCGAAAATGCTCTCAACCCTTGGCCTTGCTTCATTAGAACATTCAACGCATCCCAACGCCCTTCCTTCTGCAGACTCCCTAAAGCCCTCTCTCTTTCTGCAAAAGGAAGGGCCTCTAAAGTCTAACGAGCCCTAGCAAAACCAAACACAACTGGAAAACAACCGAGTGCCCTAACACTGACCCACCCAGAAACTAACAAGTGCCCCAGCCCCTAAAACCAACACTCTGATTTCAAAGCCGGTAGCAACCAACACCTTCCATAACAAGACTACGCTACTCGCTCTCAATAAGCTTAAAGACCCAACCCCTCAACCCACCAAAAAGCTTCTATAAATCCCTAAATCCAATAAACCCTAGAGTGTATATATATATGTACATATATATATATGTATATATATATACGTATATACAAAACAAAAAAAGCTGCTGCCCAGGAGCCCTCTTCGGCCTTCCAGCGCTTCTTGGCCTCGCGCTGCAGCTTCTCGAGGGTCTTTGCAGGTCCATCCTTGGGAGATTCGGTTTAGGGTTCAGGGGTAGGGTTTTAAGGTGTGTGTGTTTTTTTTTGGGGGGGGGTTTAGGGGCTTAGGGCTTTAGGGCTAGGGTTTTAAGTTTTTTTTGAGGGTTTAGGCTCTAGGATTAGGGTTTTAAAAGGTTTGGGGTTTAGGAGATTCTTGCTTGTCCAGTATCCTAAGGGAACTACTAGATTAGCCTGAGGAATTATAGTAATGAACCCAGAAATAGGTTCAAGGTTACCTGCCCAGCTGCTGCCCAGCTAAGGATTCGTGCGTGTCTGTCAACGTCTTCTGCGACGTTCCCAGTAGAAGGTCTAGGGCTTTTGTTCTGTTAATTTTCTCAGGCGTTCTAAGGTCTAGGGACGTTGTGCGATCTAGGACCCTAAACCCTAAACTTTGAGGGGGTTTGAGGGATTATGGGCTTTGGGCTTCAGGAGGCCTGGAGGCTCAGGTTTTCGGGAGTCTGGAGGGATTATGAAGGGTTTTGGGGTGGGTTTCTTGGGTTCTTGCTGTGCGCTAACTTGGGGACTTTGGGTTCTTGGGGCAAAAGCCAGAACCTTTTTTTGACATCTGCTTCCAACTGTTCGGTAAGTAGTCGGAGAGTCTTATTAGGCAAGTGCGGACTGCTGCATCCCATCACCTCTGGCTTTAGGGTTTAGGGTCATCTTGGAAGGAAATGGCCTGACATCGAAGCGGCTTTGTCTACCGAAGGATTCCCGACTTGTATACGCAGTACTCCAAAAGGCCCTTCAAAACTCTGACCCCGTCCCCCCGAAACTCATGCGGTGACGCCGACGCCAAGCAAAAACGCCAAGACAAAGCTTGACTCATCCCAGCCGGGGCGGCCGATTGGATCTTCTTGGCAACGGCCTTGACGACGAACTGCGAATCCAAGAACTCCCACACACCTGGGCCAAAATGGTTGAGGGTCCCTAGGGTCCAAAGCGTGAAGGGCTAATATCGCATAAATTTTTGTGTGGCATTCCTTTGGGGTTGCGCTCCCCTGCCCCAAGTTTCAGTGGAGTTATAGAAAATTAGGGCTAATTAGGGTTTAGGGGGTTGATAGTCAGGTTGATCACATACAATGTGTACACAACAAGCTTAAATGTCGGTTACCTGCTCAGCTACAAAGCGAAAGCCAGGTTTGGGGGTACTGCGCAGCGGAACTGAGAGTACATGGAAGCCCTCATGCAAAGGATTTGCGGGTTCCGGGTTGTCGCCTTATTAGCCGTCTTTCGCTCTTGTTGCAGCCAGATGAAAGTTTGTATTTGGGGTATATGATGAACCAGAATGTAGCCAAATGAAAGGAATTGTTTTGCTTCGAAATTGCCGATCCGGAATCGCCAAATGAAGGGGCGTGTTAAAAAATATACGTGTGCAAAACTCGTAGACGTCTGCAAGTACCCTATCACCATGTGCGCAGCAAATTCGTTGAGGACCCGACCGTCGCTGGCGATGATGAAAAACGCCTGCACAGGGTTTTTGTCGGAGAGAGCTTGGCGAGCATCTCTGTATCTCTTGAGCGCCTACTTTCTGATTTCCGTGGGCCCAAGAAAAAGTGTGAGCGAAGCAGGCAGGAATCACCACGATGCTAGTTTTGAGTACTCACAACTCTGATTGTGATGTTGCACTCACAATGCTTTTGGTCATGTCACCATTGAGGTAACAAGACTGCAAGTTGCAAGAAACGACACGAATAGACCACGACAAAACACATTTATTGTAGCGATCCTATGGCAGCTGTAGTGGCAATCACGCTACACCACCACACTCACCACCATGACTACCAGCTCGGCGACGCTAGGCGAAAACGACTGGAAGTCAACGCTCGCAAGGTACTCCGAACCCCTAGAACACCACGAGAAAACACAAGAACAAGCGCCCACAAGCCCCACACTGCAATCCCCAGAGCCCAAAACCGATGCCCTGCAATGTTTGTCGCCTTCTTCGAGAGGTCCACGGTCGTAAGCAGAACCTGCAAGAAGCAAAAACACTAAGCTTACTTTGTTCTTGCGTTTTGAATTTTTGCTGGAAAGTTTATGCTTTAGGTCAGGCATCTGTGGGACAACCGCACTATCTGCTAACACCAAAAAGTTTACGGTTACAGCTTCGACGGTAGGTTTCGGATTTCGAACCCAGGGTCCAGGAGTTCGAGCTTCGGGTTCTGAAATACCACAAAGGGCATTTTTCTTGAAACTAGGAGTCCTCGTTAAGAGTTATAGGGGCGCATATAGTAAGGATCCTACTGCTTAGTGCCTGTGTTCGGATTCTGGTCGTTCTTGCTACATTTGTCATTGTTCTTTCGCAAAGGCTCCATGTGAACGACAACAAAGAAATAGAACTCACGTGCTGCAGGCCAATACAATGCCGTGTAACTGACTACCAACATTAATTCTTAGGGTTCCTTATTCTAGTATTATAATTATAACTATAAAGCAGCCCTACAAATTCTCAGATCGTGGTTCTCAGGGACAGAGAAGTTTAAGCGATGAGTCTATTAGTGAATTTTAAGCTTGCTTCAGGCGAGATTTAAGTCTAGGTGTAGTATATACTCTGGGTCCTTGCTAAGGATTTGAATTGAAGCTACCAGTAAGTGAAATTAAACTCCCTAAAGGAACTAAGCAATTGTACCGCAAGGCTCTCAGAAAGCAGTATGAATTCCCTAAACCAGGGACTTCCATTCCTTTGAAAATTCCCACCTCGGGAGTCGCGATGACACCGTAGTCCTTCACCGACTGGTCCCCGAGCGTGCGGGCCATGCACAAGCCCGGGTAGTCCTGAGACGTGTGGTGCCCTCGTTAGTATCGCCGTTCTTGTTACTGAAGTTGATATTGTCCTTCTTATTGGCAGTTGTTGTTGCTGTGCTGGTGATTGTGGTCGTGGAGGTGGAGGAGGCGGTGGCTCCGGCAGAGGTGGTGGTAATGGTGGTGGCTGCGGCGCTGCTGCTGGACTGTTGCTGTTGCTGCTGCTGTCTTGTGGTTGTAGTTGTTACTGTCGGCGTCTAGGGGGCTCTTCGTTACAATATGCCCGAGAGGCTCAGAATCTGAAGCCATGAAGTTTTGAGCCACCTAAAACCACGCGATTCAAGCTTATCTGTCCTCAGGGCCTCAGTGACACCAGAAGATACAGTCCGGGTCGCTGATGCAAATCCAATTGTTAAGAAAGACAAGCACACCTGCAAAAACCCTAAACCCACCAAAAAAGGGAGCCCTGCCCTAACCTCATGACCTTCAAAGACCCCATTAGAGGCAAAGGCCTTGCCCTTGATGAAGATGCGGTGGTTCACCCATCCATCCTCGGCTTCGGCCCACTGAACAGCTGATTGATAACTAAACCCTAACCGACCTAAACCCTCCATCTACCCTCTATTCGACCCTAAACTCCCATTATTTGGGATCCTATACCCCGATCTGAGGGTACAAGGAGGTTCCTGGTAGCAACCCCCTAGCAAACCCAGGGTGGAGGATTGGGGGGTCCGAGTTCGGGCTCTCTCCAAGGTACTTGGGAGTTTCCGAAAATAGGGGACCCTAACATAGTACCCGAAAAAGTAGGATCCCCATTATAAGGACCCCAAAATAAGGTACCCCTTCTGCCCGGAAACTCCCACTTAGCTACAGTACTTCAACGTACACCATCTTGGTCATAGAGGGGCCTTCAAAGCTCGAAAATCGAGTCGGGCCCGCAGGGGTATCATAGTCATAGAGTAGACCGTATCGAAAATCTGATCTGGGTTGTAGTTTCGGGGCCCTGATAAACGTATTTATGAATAGGTGCCTCTATAAGAACCATAAAGAGAACTCTTCAAGTTTCCCAAACTGGTGATGGATGTTGTTAAGCCTGGTGGTCCAAATCTCATTCGTACGGACGTTGATGGAAAGGACGGTCTTGTAGAAACTCCCGAAGCCCCTAAATGCAAGACCCTAGGCCCTAAACCTATCATCCTTCATCGCTTTCGGCTGCTTTGAGGCTTGTAGTTTAGGGAGTAGTAGTGTTGGCTTGAGGGTTTACATAATAGATTAGGAGGAATGTTAACCTCCCCCTTATTAAGTAGCCTATAAGTCGAATCAGAAAGTGCGGCTTAGCTGCACCAGCCCCCGTCTAGGATACTTCTATACCAAGTTTACTCCCCAAATTAAGGTACTACCCTTCTGCATGTTGAAGATCGAAGTCGATTCCAACATGCCCGACGTGCCGCAGAGACACAGGGTGTCAGCGCTGTGGGGTTTTTGCAAGAAGACGGGGTTTCAGAGTTCCTCTTCAATGTCTCTTCTAATCGATCAACCGATCTTATGGTCAGGATCCGGTAACAAGAAGGGCTTGTCCTGCAGGGCCTGTCTCTTACCCCGAAACAAAGAAACGCCGAGCCCGGTATGAATGCTGACATCGACATCGCAAATATGGGCGCGGATTCTCAACCGAAGGATCCTATAATGCATGTCCTTGGTCCACACGTTAGGGTCAAGGTTGCCCCTGATCACTCGCAGCCTACCAACCCAAAACCCTGAACCCTGGCAGATCATCCCGACCCAAGCCCTAATCTCAACCCAAAACCCTAAACCCTGCCACATCCATCTCGAGTCAAGCGGCTGGATACGTCTGAGAGCGCACCTCGCCACCGGAGGCCTCGATTTGGGCCTTCTCCTTCGCACACCGTGCGTCGTTTTACGGCCTAAGCCCCCTAAATCCTAAAACCAAAGGCGCCGGTAGCTTTGTTTATGGTCTTTCGGCTTAATGTTTAGGTTTAAAGGGGTGTTAGAAGGTTTCTTTGTTCCGGTCGTGCTATTACTTGGAGGTTCATGGGTAGTTATAATTTCTAAGTCGGGTTATAAGTCCCCTAATATGGGGTATATAGCTATAGTTCACCTGCTTATAACCCCACTTGTAACTACCCATGAACCTCCAAGTAAAGGGTTCTTTGTTCCGGTCGTGCTACGACAGTACGTGCACGTGAAAAAAGGCCACTCTGGCCAGGCGCGTCTGGCTCTTGGGTGGCCAGTGTTCTGTAGTTTATAGGGGTTTAGGGTTTATGGGTTTAGGGTTTCGGAGTTTAGGGGTGTAGGGCCTGAGACTTAGGGCCGAGTTAGTTCAAACAGGCGCCGCTTTTGTGCAGAAAGAAAATTCTAAACCCTATAGACCATTAAAAGCCACATCTTTATCCTTAAGTCCGTATGCTCTCAACCCTCATCCCGCTTCAGGCGTTTCGGCTATCCCAGCTGGGATGCCTAGTTCCGGGGCTGCGGACTTACTTGAGGTTCATGGGTAGTTGTAAGTGGGGCTATAAGTCCGTTAACTATAGTTATATAACCCATATTAGGGGACTTATAACCCAACTTGTAAACCCTATGAGCCCTATATTAGGGGACTTATAACCCTACTTATATTTACCCATGAACCTCCAAGTAGGCTTACCGCAGGCCTTGTCGCTCTGGGGCTTGTGGTCCTCCGTCTCAAAGACCACCTTCTTGTCCTGAGGCTTAGGGGTTTAGGGTTTAAGGGTTTAGGATCATTCTCCTGAGCTTCAGCCTCGATGGTAATGTGGGGGGCCTTCTTTTTTAGAGTAGGGGTTTAGGGTATACGGCATACTATACTGTAAGTCTAATAAGGAACCCCCCAACAAAAGTATAGGTAAGTATATTTAGGCCCGTGTATTACGTGGGTTTGGAGTTTCGGCTTTTGAGCCTGCGATGTGGGGCTTTGGGGAGCTAGCGATTCAACCATCAATCCCCTTCCTAAGAATGCATAGAAGAGCTTTTCAGACAAGAAAGACCCCAATATAGAGCCAAAGTAAAACGATCTTTGTTGCCCTTCCGAAGGAGGGGTCCTCAAATTCCAATCAACCTCCATCATCCAAGGGCAAAGGTCAGTGAGAGTTTTTTCCCTGCTTCCACATCCTCTGCATGGCTCTAAAACCCTGAACCGGGTTCGACTTGATTTTGACTTCGGGCTCGCCGGAAAAGCAGGAGGATTCTTCAGCTCCGGACACGTGGAGCCTTGTGGTGCGACACTTTATACAGATCTCAGAGCGCCGCTCTTAGCCCTGGCCCAAAACTCAGACAAGAGAACTTGTCAATTTCTCATCGCATGCTTAGTGTTTTGACCATAAGATGCAGCGCAGCTCAATTCACCTACCAGCAAGCTGACAGTTTTACGGCTCGAAATTTGGAATCGAGCTGCAGCCGGTGGTTAAAATCCACTTTGTGGCACCAAATGAACTTTCTAAAGCCCCATAGAAGCCCACAGAAACCTCCTATAAGACCCGAAGAACTTGTTGCCAACGGAGGAGCCCTGAACCCTACAGGAAACCCGCGACGTCTTGCGGACGGACCACAGCTTCGGTACCGATGGCGCAGCGAGAGTCACCGGCGTTGGCGGTCCACACTTTGTTTCCCTTGAAAAGAGCTGCAACCGCCTTGGAAGCGGAGGCGGAGTTTTTGGTCAAAGGCTGTTGGGGTCCAAGGTTCCTAAACCCTAAAACCCTAAACCCTCAAACCCTAAACCCTTAATCAGGTTTCTGCATTAAGGGACTTGGGGTTCAGGGCTAGGGTTCCGACTCCCGCACTCGCTCAGGCAGACAAGGCTTCAGGAAAAATCGGGTCCAACTACAGCTCGAAGCGCTAACTCCTACTTCAAGCCCACCACCATTTCGGGATTCAGATTGAAAGACTTTAGGGTAAGAGGTTTCTGGCTAAGGCAGTTTGGAGTGTTCGCCAGGGCATCGATGCTTCTTACATCGCTAGAGTGACTCGCAAGTGTTAGCGAACATGCCGCCAGACTAGCCGCCAGACTACCTGACATCTGCTGCGACCATAGAAGCGAATGTTCGAGGAACCTAACATAGCCTTAATACTCTAAAACCCGACACCCCTGAAGCCCTAAACGGTAGGGTCAGAAGCCCGGAATCCCTATCGTCTCACTCTTGGACCCTGAGCCCTCATGCACCCCTGCGTGTGTGTGTGTGTGAGCCAGGTTACAATAGACCTCGCTAATTACAGAGTTCCTTATTGTGATCGCAAGTACATTTCTTAGACCACATGTATGTTTTCTATGGAAGCCTTATGAAATCCTGTCATATTACGGTCTGGTCCTGAAAAATCAATGGGTCTCTGGGGCTCCCTGGCAAAGTTGCGAATCGATGTACATAGACCCCTAAACCGAAAAACCGAAACCCTCTGGGTAGTTCTCTAAATTACAGCTCCTGTTTTGGGGTCCCTAATATAGCACGGCACCCTTATAGAAAGGACCCTAAAAAGGGGCCCTGTTTCAGAGAGCTACCCCTCTACCTTAAACCGTAACGAAGACCCGTGCCTAAACCCTGGCGTCTAGTCTGAGAAGGCCCTCTGGCTCCGGCCGAGGAGATTTGCTTAGGATTCTTTAGGTGTTTATGGTAATTTCTGGGTTGGTGGGTTTAGGGTTTAGGGGCTTAGGGTTTTTGTCTTCGGTTGTAGGGTTTAGGGGTTGGCATTAAGACTTTAAGGCTCAGGCTTAAAGCTCTTGTGCTCGAGGGCTTTAAGGTGCAGGGACGGGCGAGAAAGATGCGGGCGACAGGGCCGTACACTGTACTAAGCAGCCACTCTCTCGTCTTGCGGGCGAGAAATTGCAACACCAGGTTCATATACCAAGTGAATGCCTCCCTATTGGTGTTCTCCGCGGCTTCATTGTCGTGAGAATAAACACAGCTACTATCTGAACCTTACTAAGTAGTAACCTTACAGTAACAGCTTTTATGGGTACTGCGATCCTTCCGTTGTCGTCATTACCGCCCTGATCAGGCTAAAGGTTCAATCCCTTCAGAGCACCCCGCCATGTCGGCTTTATGCACACGGTTAAGGCCTAGTATCCAGGTTTAGGGTCCAAGTTCGGACATGCTGCAGTACTTCCACTGGCTTGAACGTCCCAATCGTTCTCGAGTGAGTGTGCCACAACGTCCTTCTGAGCCTGCCATGCGAAAGGAACTACATTGAGGCACTGGATGGTAACGGTCATACTGACAAGAAGAACGACAATCGCAATCCACAGCGACTATTCATGGTGACAGTTGGGGTGTCGATCGACACAGGAACCGTAAGTGCTCCTTTGACTATTCAAGCTCTCAACAGATTTGGCTCGCGGAAACAAGTTGCAAGATTCAGATTCTCTCGCGCTCTGTGTGTGGGGGTCAGGATTGTGAGCGCAACGTGGCGATTCGGGGGTTGAGTTATGGGGGCAGTTGATTGCGAGTCGTGGCGAGGTCCCTTCCCGCAGAAGTGTCAAATAACTTTCGGGCAGGTCGGAAGCAGCAAAAGAAGCCCAAACCCGACAGCTACAATCCTATTCCCTTAGGTTTGGGTTGGTCCAAGGGTTAGGCTCCTCACCTCGGCTCCATAGACTTCGTCATGAAATTAGTGCTTGGGTAAACACCTTATGTGAAAGTTGCTTCTTGTATCAACTGCCACGCTTAGCCGAATCTCACAGAGCAGGTGCTGACAACTGCAAGCTAAGACCCTGAATTGCTAAACCCTAAACCCTAAACCCTAAGACCATTCCAGAAAACCTTGAATTGCTAAACCCTACACCCGACACCCTAACCCCGTGGCCCGGTCAACCCTCCTACTACCAAGGCCTGTCCTGCTCAGGAAGATAGACACGCCCTTTAAGCTTGCGCTGTACTGGAGAGGGTTGTATGTGTGTGTATATATATATATCCTATTTTGTCGTTTTGCTTGAAGAGCCGATGCATCAATTCCTTATTCGATGATCGCGACAAAGAAGACCAAACCTCCAAAACTCCTTAGACCGCCAGCCTAAAATCGTAATCCGCAAGGAATGCACTATTTGGACACCCATAGTGAAAGTCATAGCAAAGTAGTTTAGTAGACGAACACACAAGCAACTTCGCAGATGAACAGCGGTAGCTCTTTGGATCACTACAGATAGAGAGATAGCCAGCTAACTACGCAGTTAGCTAGCTAGAGATGTATGTACGCACATTACATGCCGACTATCTCGCTCTTTGCTTTGCTCAGGGTGTGAGGAGATCGTGAAAACGTAGTACTGACATCAATAGTTCACATATCAGTATGTTCAGCGAAAGGTTGATCTTTCCCCTCTGCGTGAGTGGACACCTTCTCTCTCTCTTTCTCTCTCTGTCTGTCTCCCTTCATATAACCATATAATTCTGGAGATGAGAGTGGAGCAAGCTTCTTCACATGTTCGGTCCTTTGACACAGAGCACGTCACTAAAAAAGGTCGGTTGCAGAGAAATGGGGCAAAGCTCACAGCCTCACAGTTTGAGGGCGAGGGAGTTCGAGAATGTAAAGGCCAAGCACCGATGGTAGCATCATGCTCATACATCAGCCCAAAACCCTAAACCGTTGTTTTGAGCAGGGATGCAATGCACTGAGCCCTGAATCCCTAAACCCTAAACGCTGGAACCCCTGGTTTTCTGAAGCACGCGCAACCCCAAACCGATCGGGCATCTGTTGGGCCTGGCCTTCTCAAAGGCATTGATCAAAGCCTGGCCACTGGGTTGGCTGCTGCGATTTAGGGTTTAGGGTTTGGGGTTTAGGGATCCTTTTGCAACAGGCTTTCCACTCCCTAAACCCTAAACCCTAATTTTGGTTTAGGGTTTAGGCCTCGTGAAAGCCTGGCCCTATAACCCCAAAATATGAGGATCCACAAAAAACAAAAGGTTTCCCAATCACGTTCATAGATTTACTTAGTTGCTGAGCCAGTTCTACAAGGGATCATATTATCCAAAAAAGTTTAAAGTGTAGTAATTCAGCTACTAATTCAGCTACTAAGCTAAGACCTGAAGCCACCCAACGATGTTTTGCTTCTCGAAATCTCAGCTTTAGCTTCAGTGCGGCTTCAGAATCTTAGGCCCTGTTCTCAAAGTGGGCACCCGCGAATTCGTGCTGTCGATAGACCAAACTCCTGATTCTTGACTGTGCAAATATACCATGAACACGGGCGCAGTTGAGGTTACTAGGGCAATGCGTGGACTTTCTCAACCTTTCTCAACGGGCAGCATAAGAACTCGGAGCTTCACCATAAACCCTACAAGCCTTACCAAGGAAGATCTTGAATTGTGGGGATAGATTTAGGCCCATGCCGTGATGCAGGATGGCATGATTTACCGAGCAAGAAGCTTCCAGACGAGTGTATATGGGCCTGGCTTAGCTAGTTGAGAGCTAGTGCCCCAAGGAATGATGTTGATACTCCGTACGGCTTCTCTGTCCATGTTACGGGTGAAAGGCTCGAGCGACAGCAGGTTGAG